CACCCTTCGCTGTGGAAAAAAAAAAAGTTAGCATGGCATGGAATTTTCGATATCAAAATATAATTTTGATTTTTTCTCTTTTTTTTCACGAAAATATAAAAATTTTAAACAATAGTCTAGTGTAATCTATGTTTATATCATTAAAATACATGTGAAATTCAAAACATAAATATAGTAGATGTGAGCTATAAAATCAGATATATAATTTTACAGAAATGGAATATATGTCTTTTATATTTTTATCTTTTTCTCTATTATTTTATTTAAAAAAAATCAGTATATTATAAAAAAGTCAGTGCGTGTTTTTTTAAATAATTATGGATATATATTTATTGCATGTATAATAATTACAGATTTTTTTGGATTCTTGTGAAACTAATTTATATCGCAGATATAAAAGCTTACATCCACTAATCATTTTGTCCAGGGTGTCAAAAATTATTCAACCAGCACTATCGGTTGGTCGACCTTTGTCGCCCGCAGCGGAAACGACCAATGGACCAAATATATATGAAATATGTATATTTGTGTGTACGAATTGCGCGTATGTATGTGCGAACATGTGTGCATAAACGTATCTTCGCGGATATTTGCGGAATGCTTGTAAACTCATTACGCCGATAATTCTATGAGATGATATTTTAAAGCTGAGGAAGATAAATACGTAATAACGAAGTTAATAAGTTATATGAAAATATAAAGCACAAAGATAAAGATAAATATATTAAAATATTACGTAATGTATAAAATAGCTATTTTATTAAAACATGTATTTTCTCATATAAATATTTTTATTAATTCATGTAACGCGCCTATTATATATTTTTCTAAAGATCTATTCAATTACTTTAATGTATATAATTACTTAATTACATGCGTTTTTAATTCGTGTTTTCCGTTATTTTGATCGACAAAGTATACAACTTTGTAAATATTATGCCGTTACAACAAAAAAGCGGCAGCGTAAATATACTGTATTTTACTTTTAAAAAGTGTGTTCTTTTCTTCTTTTTATATATATTTATGATTTATTTATAAAACAACATATTTTTTAGAGCATTAAAATGATTTGATATACCTTAGAGACACGATTATATTGCGCCAACTTCACTATTCGCGCCACATATATTATTAGTGTACATTTTTCAACATTATTTATTGATTAAACTTATTTAAACGCTTTAAATTGAATAAAATATATTTTTGTTTATAACTTTAACACTATAGTATTAGATAATTAAGTTTTCTAAAGAAATATATGTAAAAAATGATGTACCTTGCAAGGAGAGATGCAATTTCGTGTTCCGTTGAAAATCATAAGATTGAAAATGAGTGAGATGTCGCTGCGCGCCTATTTTCTCTCCGAGTGCGTTCAGAAATATACCGTAGAATAGAGTAGTCTTTAATTGACCAATCAGGAGCAAAGATTTCTTTGTTCTGATTGGTCAATTAAACGCTACTTTATCCTACGGATAAAGTTTCCGAATGCTCACAGGATAAGTCAGTTTGACCAACTGTTAAGGATTTCTGTTGTTGCAGTATCTTTTGAAATTAGCTGTCAACAGCTGTCAAAATGGTTAATAAAGATCAGGTGAAGAGGGACATAAAAGAATTATGCAAAAATGACAAATATTCCATTCTACTTCCTACTTATAACGAAGTGGAGAATTTACCGATAATAATATGGCTTATTGCGAAATATATGGAAGAGAGGTAGCTGCATAACCTGAAATTGACTAGGAATAATATGCGATTAATAGAAAAAAATAAATAAAGACACAAATGAATTTAAACTGCAAAACTGAAAATAATTGTTAAGCGAAAATCTAAAATATTACAGCGAGCTCGCCTACGAAATTATCGTAATAGACGATGGTTCACCAGATGGTACTCTGGATATGGCTAAGCAATTGCAAAGAGTTTATGGCGAGGATAAAATAATCTTAAAGCCCAGAGAGAAGAAATTAGGATTGGGGACTGCTTACATGCATGGAATTAAATATGCAACAGGAAACTTTATTGTTATCATGGATTCTGATTTGTCTCATCATGTATATTTTATATTGATAAATGAATAGAGTGATTTAGTAATAATAAGCATATTTCATAAGAAAATCTTTACTTTCCAGCCAAAATTTATTCCAAAAATGGTTGAGCTGCAACGATATCTCAATTTGGATATAGTCAGTGGTACAAGATATATGCAAGGCGGTGGTGTTTATGGATGGGATTTCAGGAGGAAGTTAGTCAGTAGAGGTGCAAATTTCTTAACACAGATTTTGCTGAGACCTGGTGCAAGTGATTTGACTGGTAGTTTCAGGTAGTGAATTTTTTATAGACTTCTAGTTTTATGAAATGTCTAATGATTCTAATGTATTCATTTTTGATTTTCTAATTTCAGACTTTACAAAAAAGATGTATTGGAGAAGTTGATACGATCTTGTATGTCTAAAGGTTATGCATTCCAAATGGAAATGATAATTAAGGCTAGGCAATTCAATTATACAATAGGAGAAGTTCCAATTACATTTGTTGACAGAGTCTATGGTCAATCCAAATTTGGTGGATCAGAGATTTTCCAGTTTGCAAAAAACCTTCTGTATCTCTTTGCTACCACGTGAAGCTGAGCATTTTCCCTTAGGAAAAATTCTAATTTTTTCACAAATATCAAACTTCCTGACTAAACATTTTATACTTTGTACTATGTAAATGTCTAATTGGTGCAACCAATATATATATGAGTATATAATTAAAAAATATGTATATATTTAAAAAATAACATATATATATATTTCTATTATTTCTTTTTAATATCTTTATCATTTCTTTTATTATTTTGTCATTATTTCTGACTTTTAATAATATAAAACTACTAATACAGACAATAATACACAATATTAGTAATCGCAACATCAACTTTTGTCTTTGAATTAAATAAATACCGTAAGTCTAAAATGGTTGAATCTTTGTGGATGATTATTGTTTGAAAGACGAATGTAGTATAGTGGCCAATATATATATATATATATATATATATATGTTTGTATAAATTAAAATACAATATATTATATTGAAATTAAAAAAGAACTTGTATTGTTGCTGATTATTAAATCTCTTAGCAAATATTATCTGATTATTATGAATGGTTGGACATACATACAAATTACCATGTCGGGTATTTCTATCATGTGTTGTTTTTATAATATGAATATTATGGCAATAAAGTATAGCTATTTCACGAAGACACGTGCTTCTACACGTGGCCGCAAACGATAAAGAGAGGCATGCGTATATAACAATTCCTGTGGGCTCGTCTACCCTCGCCGCACCCTCTGACGTCACGCAGCCTCCATTTATTGATCCATTACGAAATTACAGTCTATATTTCGACTTGAATAGAATGCAAGACGCAAGTAGACTAGATTAACCAGGATGTGGGCACTGATATAATAAATAGAATTTATAACGCAAAATAGCTTTTATTGAAATCATTTGTCTCAGAGATTCTCAAACATTATTGCAACTTAATCAATTCATACACCACATGTAATTCTTGAAAAATTCTAAACCCGAAAAATCTCTAAAGAGAAATATAGAAAAGTTTTATTAAATAAAAAATCTAAAAATAACCTATTTCAAAACAATATTTTCTTAAATTTCAAAATAAATTGAAAAGAATTTACCTGTTAAATTAAATCTTATTTTCACACACACACAAAAGCAGAAATTAAAAAATTTTTAGTTTCCTTTTTAAACCTAATATGATATTTACTTAGTGATGTAATTAAAAAAATATAGAACTAAAGAAAATTACACAGTTTTAATCAAGGATTTTAAGCGATATATATCTTTCGCTTCCACGAGACCGAAAACAGCGACTTTTATTTTTAATTCGGAATTATTCTTCGCGGAAGTTAAAATCAAAAGATAAGAATAGAGAAGAAAAGAAAGTAATTCAATCGCAACGTTAATCCTTGACCTTTTACGACCGAAAGAAATAAAAACCTATTAAATTTTTAATTCCTGATTCTCTTTCACTCTGTTCTTCCGAGATATATATATTATATATATTTGCGAATTATACAGAAGCCTCTATTTATCACATAGCAATATTGCGATGTCTTTGATATTTGTGTCATATTTACAGCAACACCTGTACAAAAACGTTACATATTTGCGAATATACGCATGCCTTTTCCAAAGGAAAATCCCTTAACCCATTAGCAGAGCCTGGTAGAGGGTGGTTTTAGATACGAAGCCAGTTCTGTCGCAAGCTTCGCCGCGGCCGGATGTATAAGTGGGGTGGTCTGCGCGCCGGGGCGAAACTTGCAAGCTCCCCCTTTATCGAGCTTGCAGATGGCTGTGCCTTTTCGATTTTGACGTGTCCCTCCGTGTTTCTCCCCGTTCGTTCGTTCGCGCCCTACGTGATATAATATTTCTGTCGATTAATTCATCGTTCGCTTTATCGTTCGCCGCAATCAGCATCCCTCGACATGCCCAGAAAGGTCGGATTCAACGTCGTCTACGCCACGAGTAAGGCGACCAGAATTGCGAAATAAACCGCATCAGCATCCCTCGACATGCCCAGAAAGGTCGGATTCAACGTCGTCTACGCCACGAGTAAGGCGACCAGATCCAGAATTGCGAAATAAACCGCGTACTAACCTCGAGTCGAAAAAGGGCTGAACGTTACAAGGAGAACTAAATTCAACAGATTTAATTTGCAATAGATTGGTATAAGTGAATATAATAATCCCATCGGAAAGTTGCTGTTTGACTATTTTCCCAGATAGTGCAGCAGTTATTACAATAAATAAAATAATGTGATTCGTGAATAT